CCCGGCTTAGGCTGACCTTGAAAGCACTATGTAGCCCAGGCTGGTCTTGAACTCGTGGCAATCCTCCGGCCTCAGCCTCCCGAGTGCTGGGATTACAGGCGTGCACCACCACACCAGGCTCTCTATCTTATAACTTAATCTGCTTTTATGTCTGTCAGCTCCTGACACTACGGCCCATAAGAAGCTCAGTGTGTGATCTGTACTAGCTGTGGCAGTTTAGGCAAAACAGCTAGTGCCTGTTTTCAGAAAAGACACAAGTTGTGAGAGGGTCTGGCTGCAACACCATGAGCATGCGGCAGCTGAGACAAGCACTGGCCACACAGCCAGCCAGGACCCGGCACCTCCTGGAAGCCTTCTCCCGGGAACTTTCTCCCTAAAGTGGGAGAAAGGAAGTATTTCAGGCAGCAGACCATGTTTTGATTCACAACTAGTCAAAACTGCTATTCCTGGGCAAGTGAGCCAACACCGCTAGGCAGGGCCAGGCCCAGGCCCAGACATTGCTCACAGAACAGGTGGCCAGCCTGGCAGCTCGAGGCCCCCGCCAACCTTCAGTCTGCATAAAGAACTGGATAACTTTCTTTGTAAAGTGAGAAAGAGGGGCCGACTTTCTTGGTTGTTCCACTTCCTGCCAGCTGGTGTGCAGGACAGAACGCTGGCTCCCAAGGCCCGTGGGACGAGAGGGAGTGGCTGGTCCCGCATGAGCAGCTAGGAACCAGCAGGGCACCTTGACCCTCAGGATGCCGTCCAGCCCAGTGGTCAGGGCCCCTCCCTACATGGACACCTTGCTGGCCATAGCTGAGTAGACACTGCAAGAATAAACTTTTAAGAACCAAAAAAATCACTATATGGCACCATTTAAAAAAAACTCAGAGTTTAGAATAAAAAGTGAATTCCAGCGTGGTGGCACACGCCTGTAATCCCAGCACTCAGGAGGCTGAGGCAGGAGGATCGTTGTAAGTTCGAGACAACCCTGGGCTACAAAGTGAGCTCAAGAACAGCCTGAACTACATAGCGAGACCCTGTCTCAAAAAGACAAAAAAAAAAAACAAACAAAAAACAAAATGCGCGATCACTGGTGTAACCGGTACCTCAGTTTAGTGTGAGATATTATTGCTGCAAATGGCTGGAGGTAGAGACCTGGCGGTGGGCGCCCAGTACATGACTGAGCACCAACCCCGAAGAGCAGGAGGGAATAGTTATACAGTTCTAGTTCTGGGTTAGTTCCGGGTATATGGGGGGGGGTGGGTTGATATGATTTAGTGCAGCTACAGAAAGACTACAAAGCACAGGGTTAACTTGTGACAAAGGAACAAAGGTGTTTGACATTTTGCATAGGGGACAAGCAGTCTCATGACAGAGCATGGGGTGGTACCAGGTTAGGTGACTATGACATTTACAAGAAACTTAAGGAAACAGAAACTTAATTAAGCTTTAAAGTGGCACTAGAACACAAAATGGCATTGGTTTAGTTTTCTTTCCATATCAGTATGAATGGTAATACTCAAGCTAGTTAAACGACATCTGTAGTCCTAGCTTCTCAGAAGGGTGAGGCAAGAAGATCTCGTTTGAAACCAGCCTAGGCAAAAGTTGTTTTTTTTTTTTTTTTTTGGTTTTTCTCCTGTACCGGGAACTGAACTCATGACCTTGCACTTGCCAGGCAGGCACTTTTGCCGCTGAGCTAAATCCCCAGCCCCAAAAGTTTTGTTTTTCAACAGGGTCTTGCTATGTAGTTCAGGATGGCCTTGAAGCCAAAGCAATCCTCCTGCCTCAGCCTTCCTAGTGCTAGGATTACAGGTGTGCACCACAAAGGCTGAGGATGAAGCTCAGTGGTATAGCTCTTGCCTAACACATGGGAGGTCCTGGGTTCAACCCCTCCAGTACTGAAAAAAAAATGAAGGAAAAAAATTAATCAGTAATCCCAGCATTTGGGAGGTTAAGGCAAGAGGATCACTTGGAGTTCAAGGCCATTCTAAACTACATAGAGGGGGCCAGGGATTTAGCTCAGCGGCACAAGTGCCTGCCTGGCAAGCACAAGGTCCTGAGTTTGATTCCCGGAACCAAAAAAAAACAAAAACAAAAACACAAAAAAAACTATATAGAGACTACCTCAAAAAATAAAACAATTAGACCAGCCACTGGGAGAAGAGAGACCAGCCCAGATGTAAGTGTGTGGTGCTGGCTGCAGAACAGCATGGCCTAATCCATGGGATTTACGTAGCAAGGGGGACACGGCTCTGAGCAACTCCACAAGAGCGCCTGTGTAACAGCTTGGACAGACGAGGGCCATCGGGTAGACCACACGTGGTGGGAGCACAGCTTCCGGGTCCCACAGAACGCGCCCCACGCGCTCCACGCCACCCTCCCGCAGGTTCCTGCGGAGACGCTGCTCACAGGCAGAAAGCAGGGCGTGGAGGGCTAAGTTGCCTCAGCACGTGTGAGGGGAACCCGGACGCCGCAGTCTGCGCCTGACCAGCGCACTGCACTCTGCAGGGTCCAGGGACAAGGTCAGCTGGGAAACGCTCCATCACTGTTACCCTAGGACCTGGGACTTACGGCAACCGGACCCTTCCTAGGCCGCCTCTGTGATGGCACTTCTTTTTTTTTGTTATTTCATTTTTTCCCCCTGGTACCAGGAATCGAACTCATGACCTTATGCATGACCTTATGCTTGCCAGGCAGGCACTGTGCCGCTGAGCTAAATCCCCAGCCCCGGTGCTTCTCCTTCTAATAGCGCAAAGCAAGGAATTCGTGGAAATGGCCCTAGAGTACTAGTCGGCTATGGTAGTAATGTCGCCAGTGTGCTCTAAAATGCTTGCATTCGAGACTCTGCACTTAAAAATGAAGACTTATATGCAACAAAAATTTTAAAAACATCTTTAATATTCAAGAAAGCTGGACATGGTGGCATATGCCCGTAAGCCCAGCACCCCGGAGCCAGCCTGAGCTACAGTGACGCCCACCCCTGCTCCCCAAGTGAAAGCGTCCACGGGGTTCTAGGAGAGGACGTGCTGTACGATTCCACAGTAAAGGCCACTGGGCTTCCGCAGCCATGTCCCTGGTGGCACACACAGGAGGACGCAGACCTGACCCCACACCAGCTGGGTTGCTCTGTGGAACATCTGCCCCGTGACTGCGTCTACTGAGCAAATGGGTTGGCATGAATAGTTATGTCCTTAATGTGCACATCATTGAGAGGCCGGTATGTCTTCTCATTTACTGGGAGCTTCTCCAGTTCATCCAGCGTCTCCAAACCATCTATCACCCTGGAAGAGAAACAGCGTCATGTACGAAAATCCCCTCAGATTAAACACAGGGTCTGTCAGGTGTGGTGGTATACAAGTGTAACCCCAGCACTCAGGAGGCTGAGGCAGGAGGATCACTGTGGAGTTCGAGGGCAGCCTAGACTACAGTGAGACTGTCTCACGAAAGAAAACAAAACAGAAAAACACTTGCGATGCAAACACCTGTAACCATTACAGTTTACCTGAGAGGAAAGGGCCTCGGGGTGTGGCTGCCCATCCCTGTAATCCAGTGTCTGGGAGGCCGAGGCACAAAGATCTGAAGTTTGAGCCCAGTCTGGGCAGCTTAGTGGTTTGTCACACCATCTCACAGAAAATAAAGAATACGCTGGGGACACAGCTCAGTGCAAAAGGCCCCGGGCTCAGTGCTCTAGTATCACATACACCCGCAAAAAACCCCCAAACTAGACCATGTCTCACAGTTCTTCTGAGTTTTCTAGTTGGATGTACAACTGGAGAATTCAAATTGCCAGGGCTGGGCTCCAATCTGTTAGTCTCCTGCCTCAGCCTCCCTGAGTGCCGGGATTCCAAGCACGCACCATCATGTTGGTTTCAAAAACTCACTTTGACACAGACAAGGAGGAGGAATGTCCTTACCAACACACTAACATGCTTAGCCACACTGTCACCGCAGGGCGGCACTGACAGAGTGCCAAGGCGGCAGGCAGCCTGCTTCCGGCCAGCCCTCCCTGGCCCTCCTGGCTTGGGGACTGGCTCTGAGTGCACTGAAGGCTGGGACGCAGGGACAGTGCAGGCCGAGGATGCAGTACCAGCACCCTGGGGCCCCACCCCTCCCTTGAGCGCTCTGCCTGAGGGCCTGCGCTCCCCAGCACCACATAAGGGAGAAACAAGTGGGAAGAGCAGACCGAACTCCAGCAAGGGTGTCATGGGCCATGGAGGAGACACTCCAGAGCTGCCTTTACAATGTGTGCTTTGGAAATCTGAGTCTAAAACACCACCAGGCTTTGTTTAGATTAGCAGCTTTTCAGGTTACACTTCTTGGCCCAACTCAAACCAATTTCCAGGATTTACACATGTATTTAAAATGTGTGTGCTAGGCCAGGCATGGTGGTGCACGCCTGTAATCGCAGCACTTGGGAAGCTGAGGCAGGAGGATCGTTCCAAGTTCGAGACCAGCCTGGCTACAAAGTGAGCTCAAGGCCAGCCTGAACTGCGTAGTGAGACTCTGTCTCAAAAACACAGAAAAAAGTGTGCACCACCACAAGTTCATGAGCCAAGGGTTAGGCTACAGTTTGGTCACAAATTCAGCTGGGCATGGTGGCCCCTGCCTGCGATCCCAGGACTAAGTCTGGGTAGGAGTGCTTCAACTTTGAGACTCTTGACTCAAAAAATACGTAAAGCTACATACATCCTGGAAGCTAGAGCAACGATTTTCTCTGAGACAGAGACTCATCACGCGGCCCAGGCCCCCCAGTGCTGGCCGTGTGCCTGGGGCCACCGCGCATGCACCCAGCCGGCAGCGAACCCTGCAGCGGGACTCACTTTCCGAACACGGTGTACTTCATGTCCAGGTGGGGCTGTTTGCCGTAGGTGATGAAGAACTGCGAGCCGTTGGTGTTCGGGCCGTTGTTAGCCATGGAGACGACGCCTCTGACGCTGTGCTGCGAAGACAGACCAGAGCGCGAGCCTCGCGCTTCTCGCCGTGGCTTCCACGGACGCGCGTTCCTCACACCCCTGCTACCTACAGGGCCCGGCACACACTGAGCTGGCGTCCACCCGGACCAACCCACACGTGCCATCTCTAGCGTGGGCAGCCCGGGCAGATGCGCAGGTAAACTGCAGGTGCCAGACCATACCCTCCAGTTCATCTCACTCACTCCGAGAAGCTCTGGCAGTGCCTCTGGGCAACAGAGACAGCCCTGATGGCGGCGGACAGCGTGCAGGCACGATGCCCAGACCCACGCTCTTCTCACCCGCTGGACTCTCGCTGGCTTCTTCAGCCCACTCAGAATTCCCATCTGCAGGGTCAGCAGATGGTAAACTGACCCCCAGGCACAGGGCAGCCGGGGTGGCAAACGAACTCGCTTGCTGCCCTGCAGCTTCACACCCCTGTGGCCCCTCTGGGCACTGGCTCCTGCGGGACGACCCACGGGGGGCCTCTCTGCTCCACCATGGTGACAGGGTTTGTCTGCAAAGGGTGCACACAGGAACTGAAGGACCTAGCCGGGCATGATGGCGCACGCCTGTAATCCCGGCACTCGGGAGGCTGAGGCAGGAGGACTGCTGCAAGTTCGAGGCCAGCTTGGACTACAAAGTGAGACCTTGTCTCAAACAGACAAAAAATGAAATAAAATAAAATAAAAATAGTAAGGCTTTATCTTCCTGCAAAGTGACTAGCAATCAAGTCTAACATTTGATGCACAAGCAGGAATAAAAGGTACCATCTGCAAGTTAAGAAAACAAGCACTGCTCCTCTATTTCTGAGCTTTAGGAGTGAACGCTGGCTACTTCACTGCCTCAGCCTCTTGAGGTGAACACCACCCCATGCCACTCACACCCTTCACACACCATGTATTCACTACACACACACCCGCCGTACACCACTCCCATCAGTTACACGCCACTCACCCACCATCCGCACACCATCCACACGCCCCGACAATGCAATGCTCCCCTGGACGAGGCTCTGAACACCACAACACAACACAATTTCAGTCTTCTGGGAAGTGCTTCCAACACTGCATGCCGTTAGGATCCTGACCCATGCGTGCTCACGCAGGTACAGTTCACCCATCTCTTCACTGTGGTCCAGTATTTCTCTACTGCACGCACTAAAACGTATCCATTCCATCATCACTGCACACAGCAGCTGTTCCTGGACCTGCGCTGCCACGAACAGCACCCTAGGGCACCTGGGCAGTGGGCTGGGCATGCAACCACAGTCCCTCCCGGGCAGACACTGGGCACGGACTTGCTCAGTCACAGCAGGCAAATGACCACTGATCTTTTTTAATTTTTGAGACAGGGTCTTGCTATGTAATCCAGACTGGCCTTGAACTCACGGCGATTTTCCCGCCTCCGCTTCCTGAGCCCTGGCATTACAGTCATGTTTTAAAATTCCCACAGTTGAGTTTTGACACACTTGATACCTGGTTTTAACTGGTACTCTGGAGCAGCCATTAATTAAACTTTGAAAAATAGTTCCATTTCTACTTCAAGAGAAGGCTAACTTTTTAACAAGTTTACCACCTTCCAAATCCAACTCCTGTAACAAAACTAATACATATCCTTACAATAGTAAAGTAAAAAAGAAAAAAAAGTATCCAATTCCTGCTGCCATCCTGAGATGTAACCAATTTCAGAAACTGTGATTACATATGGAAAAAAACCACACATATGTGTATATACATATATATATATACACACACACACACATATACATACTTATATATCTATCTATATAACCATAGCTCCACCCCACACCCCCAATACTGGGGTTTCAACTCAGCAGTGCTCTATCACCGAGCTACAATCCCCAGCCCTTTTTTTATTTTGAGACAGGGTCCAAGTCACTAAGTGGCCCAGGCTGGGGCTGAACGTGCCATCCTCCTGACTCAGCCTCCCAGGGTCTGGAACGACAGGTGCCCCCATGTCTGGCTGAAGGGGCACCAGTGATGGGCAACACCATGACCTCGAGGTGGTCTTTCTGTCCTCTCGAAGGAGGCCAGTGACTCAGCTGTCGGCCATGAACCCTACGACTGGCTGCCAGCCCTGCAGACAGCACTAAGGCTTCGGGCTGGACTCCCAGGTGACCGCTACAGCCCGAGACTCTGGCCCTGCACCAGGCCAGGACGGCCACTCGGCCTCCCTGACTTCATTCACCCGGGGTGCAAGCGCAACAGAGCAGCACACTGAGTAACGCCGTCCACCTGTGTCCCCCACACGGAGTCTCCAGGCGCAAGCAGAGGCAGGGAGTGAGCCCGGGCGGAGGGGTACCTTGAGGTGTTCGCTGTACTCATCTTCAAACTTCCGGCCCCAGATGCTGTTTCCGCCTCTCCCAGTGCCTATGTACAAGACAGGAAGCCAAAGCCGTACTTAGGGTTGAAAAAGGGTTCAACTAGCCGGGCGCGGTGGTGCACTCCTGTAAGCCCAGCACTCAGAAGGCTGAGGCAGAACTGTTGCGAGTTCGAGACCAGCCTGGGCTACAAAGTGAGCTCAAGGCCAGCTTGAACTGCATAGTGAGACCCTGTCTCAAAAAGACAAAAAAAAAAGAAAAAAAAAAGGGGTTCAACTTTATTTTTTTTTGAGACACAGTCTTGCTATGCAGCCCATAGTGCCCTTCAACTCTCATTGATCTTTCTGCCTCAGCCTCCCGAGTACTGGGATTACAGATCCGTGGTACTATACTCAGTTTAGGGTTCAATTTTTAACTTAAAAGGCTCTTTATAGCATACTTTTTTTTTTTTTGGGTCTCTGTCAGACAGGGTCTCACTATGCAGTTCAGGCTGGCCTTGAGCTCACTTTGTCGCCCAGGCTGGTCTCAAACTTGCAACAATCCTCCTGCCTCAGCTTCCTGAGTGCTGGGATTACAGGCAGGTGCCACCACCATGCCCAGCTCTAGCATATCTCTTTTAAATACAAATAACATCTGATGACACCTAGTATTTTCCCATTATTTAATTTTACAGACCAAAAAATAAAATGTCCATACAGATAAAACAAACAAAATTGCCACCCTCCTTATGGATCCTGCGGGGACCCAAGGGGCGGGTGGTCACTGCGTCTGCTTCACACTTCCTGCTGTGGCACGCCAGTCCTGCCCCCCCCCCCCCCCCGGTCACACACCCAGCCACGGCCTCAGCACCTGGAAAGCATACCTGTTGGGTCTCCCGTCTGTACCATGAAGCCCTTGATGTTTCTGTGGAACACACAGCCGCTGTAGTAACTACTGGCACAGAGAGCCAAGAAGTTCTGCAAGTGAAAGTGCGAATGAGGAGTTGCACTTGAGATCAAGAGCCAGTCACCCACAGCCTGCAATCCCAACACTCAGGAGGCTGAGGCAGGAGGGTTCCTGGGAGTTCGAAGTCTGAGGCCAGCCTGGCTCCACAGTGAGTTGAAGACTAGTCTGAACTACATAGCAAGACCCTGTCTCAAAAAACAAAACAAAACAAAAAACAATCCAATCCAATCCAATCATGCTTATTGGAAACACCCAAGAGCATGTTCAACCCTGGCTTTCAGGTTTTGAGACAGAATCTTACTACAAAGGTCAGGCTGGTCTCGAATTTGTGGCAACCCTCCTGCCTCAGCCTCCTGAGTTCTGGGGCTACATACAGGTGTGTGCCACTTCACCTGACTCTAGGCATTAGTTTTAGATATTGTCATTTCCCAGCCAAAGACACTTTATTTATTTATTTATTTGGTCTTTTTCAGACAGGATGTCGCTATGTAGTTCAGGTTGGCCTTGAGTTCACTCTGTAGTCCAGGCTGGTCTCAAACTCAAAATGATCCTTCTGCCTCAGCCTCCCAAGTGCTGGGATTACAGGCGTGTGCCACCACATCTGGTTCTGACCAGGGTTTTACAGAAAGTGCTTTTTAGGTTGGAGAATCCCACTTTAAAGTGGTCATCCTGCTGCATTAACTGATTTTTAAAACATGAAGAATAGTACTTACCTCACATGTCTTGGGCGTCCGCTCACAGAAGACTTCTATTTTAATATCACCTACATCTGTGTGCAGTGTCACAGACTAAAAGAGAGAGAAGATAACAAATGTGATTTCTCCAGGAGACTACAGGTACTTTTAGTTCCCTAACTGAACATTTAAGATGACAATCAGGCAGCAGACAAAAACATTGCTTTAGAAATGACAGAACAGCTGGACCTTCTTCCCCTAAATTTATTTCAATAGCAGGAAAAAAAAAAAACCTCCAGAAGACAAACAGAAATGTTTGGGTAAAGTGCCATCTCTGCTAAAATTTGTTTTTGTTTCTTTTTTTTTTTTTAAGGATCTCACTATGTAGTTCAGGCTGGCCTCGACCTTGCAAGGATCCTTTTGTCTCAGCCTCCTGAGTGCTGGAATTACAGGTGTGTGCAACCATGCCCAGCAATAGTGTATGCTTTAATATCCTATAATGCATTTATCTTGCTGCTGCAATTCCCACAGAGTTTTATTTTCCTTGACTGATTTTTAAAAATTATAGAATTTTAAGAGTCTCATGGTCTACCAACTGAGCTAACCGGGTACCCCTTAAAAAAATCATAGAATTTTATTTATTTATTTATTTTTGTTCTTTTTGAAACAGGGTCTCGCTGTGCAGTTCAGGCTGGCCTTGAGCTCACTTTGTAGCCCAGGATGGTCTTGAACTCGCAACGATCCTCCTGCCTCAGCCTCCCCAGGGCTGGGATTACAGGCATGCGCCACCACGCCGGGCTCAAAAATTACAGAATTTCATAAAACTTACCATTTTTTCTTTTTGGCTTCAAAAGTATTACTTAGTTTCTCAGGGTCTTACAGAGAAAAGCTTGAAAGTATGTTTCTGTTCCTAAAAGTAAACAAAAGTAGTTCTTTTTTTTTCTTTCTTTTTTTTTGTCTGTTTGACACAGGGTCTCACTATGTAGTTCAGGCTGGCTTTGAGCTCACTTTGTGGCCCAGGCTGGTCTCGAACTCGCAACGACCCTCCTGCCTCAGCCTCCCGAGTGCTGGGATTACAGGCGTGCGCCACCACGCCCGGCGTTTTCTTCCATCTTCATTCACAGACAGTCCTCCTCACTGAATATGTAAAAGGAGTCCCGATGACACCCCGCGAGTAGTGAGTACCTAGTGGCGAGCAAGAAGCCAGCCGGAGACCCCCGCTCACCAGACCCTCCGGCCCGAGGCCCACTTGCGGTCCTCGCCCGCGGGGCCCCTGCTAACAGCAGAAACGCCAAGCCCAACCTGCCCGGGGCACACACGCCGTGCGAAGCGCAGAACGCCCAGAGCAGCGGCGGCTGGGAGCAGAGAGTCGCTGAGCCCCTGACGGGCGCGCGGGACGGGAAGGGGCCCAGCCGGGCCAGGTGCCCGGGAACGTCTCGCAGAGCGGCGTCAGAGCGCGCAGCGCGGCGCCCACACCGGCGGCGCAGGAAAAGCGCCCCGAAGCGCACACGCAGGCGCGG